TGGGGTTTGAAGGATCTGGGTGGTCTTTGTGTGGTCTGGGGGGGGTTTTGGGGGGATTTTTGGGGGTCTCTGACCCCCCCGCGCCCCCCCAGACGAGCGCGAGGCCGTGCAGAAGAAAACCTTCACCAAGTGGGTGAATTCGCACCTGGCGGGGGGGTCGCACCTGGGGGACCTTTACAGCGACCTGCGGGACGGGCGGCTCCTGCTGCGGCTGCTCGAGGGGCTCTCGGGGGAGACCCTGGTGAGTGCGACCCCTCCCCAAATCGGGGACACGCCCCTCAGAGGGGAACCGCCCCAAAAAACAGGAAACCCCCAATGGGGACCCTCCCCAAAATACAGAAATCTTTGTGGGGACCCCCAAAAAGGGACCCCCGGCTGCTTGAGGGAGGGGGTCCTGGTGAGTGTGACCCCCTCCCCAAATCGGGGACACACCCCTCAAAGGGGAGCCCCTCCAAGAAACAGGAACCCCCCAAAGACAGGAATCCCCCCCAATGAGGACCCTCCCCAAAATAGGGAAACCCCTGTGGGGACCCCCAAAAAGGGACCCCCGGCTGCTTGGGTGGGGGGGTCCTGGTGAGTGCGACCCCTCCCCAAATTGGGGACGCCCCTCACGGGGACCCCCAGACCCTCTTGGACCACCCCAAGTCCCCTCTGGACTCCCTCAGCCCCCTCCCCTCTGCCCCCGTGGGGGTCTCTAACGGCGCCCCCCGCCCCGGGGGGGTCTCTAACGGTGCCCCCCGCCCCGGGGGGGTTCTCTAACGATGCCCCCCTACCCCGGGGGGGTCTCTGACAATGCCCCCCCGCCCCGTGGGGGTCTCTAACGGCGCCCCCCGCCCCGGGGGGGTCTCTAACGGTGCCCCCCGCCCCGGGGGGGTTCTCTAACGATGCCCCCCTACCCCGGGGGGGTCTCTGACAATGCCCCCCCGCCCCGTGGGGGTCTCTAACGGCGCCCCCCGCCCCGGGGGGGTCTCTAACGGTGCCCCCCGCCCCGGGGGGGTTCTCTAACGATGCCCCCCTACCCCGGGGGGGTCTCTGACAATGCCCCCCCGCCCCGTGGGGGTCTCTAACGGCGCCCCCCGCCCCGGGGGGGTCTCTAACGGTGCCCCCCGCCCCGGGGGGGTTCTCTAACGATGCCCCCCTACCCCGGGGGGGTCTCTGACAATGCCCCCCCGCCCCGTGGGGGTCTCTAACGGCGCCCCCCGCCCCGGGGGGGTCTCTAACGGTACCCCCCGCCCCGTGGGGGTCTCTAACGGCGCCCCCCTACCCGGGGCGGGGGGTCTCTGACTGTGCCCCCCTACCCTGAGGGGATGTCTGCCAACGCCCCCCGCCCCGGGGGTGGGGTCTCTGACAATGCCCCCCGCCCCGGGGGGGGGTCTCTAACGGTGCCCCCCGCCCAGCCGCGCCCCACGCGGGGCCGGATGCGGATCCACTGCCTGGAGAACGTGGAGAAGGCGCTGCGCTTCCTGCGGGAGCAGCGCGTGCACCTGGAGAACGTGGGCTCGCACGACATCGTGGACGGCAACCCCCGCCTGACCCTCGGCCTGGTCTGGACCATCATCCTGCGCTTCCAGGTGACCCCCCCGGCACCCCCCGGCCGGCGGGAAATGGGGCGGGGGGCGCGGCCCGGACCCGCCCTGTGGGGGCTGTGCCCGTCCTGGAGCTGCCCCAGGGGGTTTGGGGTAATTTCTAGGGGTCTTGAACCCACTTTGGGGTGTTTGGGGTCATTTTGGGGGGTCCCAGACACACCCTGGGGGGTTTGGGGTCATTTAGGGGGGTCCCAAACCCATCCTGGGATGTTTGGGGTCATTTCTAGGGGTCTTGAACCCACTCTAGGGTGTTTGGGGTCATTTCGGGGGGTCCCAAACCCACCCTGGGGGGTTTGGGGTCATTTAGGGAGGTTCTGAACCCAACCTGATATGTTTGGGGTCATTTTGGGGGGTCCTGGAGCTGCCCTGGGGGGTTTGGGGTCATTTAGGGAGGTTCTGAACCCAACCTGATATGTTGGGGTCATTTTGGGGGGTCCCAAACCCACTCGGGGGGCTCAGTTTGGTCACAGAAATCCCCAGACCTTCCCCAGGCTCCTTTTGAGGGGGGTCTCACACCCACTTTGGGAGTCCTGACCCCACCACGAGATGCTTGCACCCATTTTGGCGGTTCCAGACCCACTTTGGGGGGTCCTTGACCCCAATTTGGGGGTCCCTACCCCCATTTTTGGGCCCCCCTCCCCAGATCCAGGACATCAGCGTGGAGACCGGGGACACTCGGGAGCGGAAATCGGCCAAGGACGCGCTGCTGGCCTGGTGCCAGATGAAAACCGCGGGGTGAGGCCTCCTGGGGGTCCTGGGGGGGTTTTGGGGGTCCTGGAGGGGTCCTGGGGGGATCTGGGTGGTCTCCATGTGGCTCAGGAGGCTCCTGGGGGGCTCTGTGAGGCTTTGGGGGGGCTCTGAGGGGACTCAGGAGGGACCTGCGGGGTCTGGGGAGGTTCTGGGGTTTCCCAGGGGGTTTTGGGGAGAGTTTTGGGGGTCTCTGACCCACCCCCCGACCCCTCCCCAGGTACCCCAATGTGAACGTGCAGAATTTCACCACGAGCTGGAGGGACGGGCTGGCCTTCTGCGCCCTCATCCACCGGCACCGGTGCGGGACGGGGCTGGGCAGGGGGCTGCTCTGGGGGGGGCTGCTGTGGGGAAGGGGCTGCTGTGGGGAGGGGGCTGCTCTCTTGGCCCAAAAACATCCCTTTGTTTTGCCACTTCAAACGCAACAACATCAGCACAGCAAATCATTACGTAAATGTAAATAACTTATTTCCCAAAAATAATCAAATGGTATGTTAAAAACTACAGAGGTAAGTCAAGGAGTTGCAGGACCTGAAAATATCTCAGTGTCAGGCATTCCAGTTTCACATATTTGATATCAGTACCAGCACCCCAGATGGGGTTTTTTGGCAGTAACTTGGGGGCAAACTTAAGGATTTAAGCAGCCAGTCTGCAGCTGCTCTCAGTTCTCAGTCATTTTCTCTTTATATGACCGATCACTCAGCAGCTTTCGCTGTGCCCCTGGACACAGCCTGATGCACAGACCAACCTGCCTGCACAGGCATCTGCCCGGGTGCGAGGATGGACAAGGGTATTTATGAGAGCAGGACAACGGGGAATGGGTTCAAATGGAAAAAGAGTACGTTTAGGTTAGATATCACGAAAAAATTCTTCCCTGTTCAGCTGGTGAGGCCCTGGCCCAGGCTGCCCAGAGGAGCTGTGGATGCCCATCCCTGGCAGTGTTCAGGGCCAGGCTGGATGGGGCTCCGAGCAGCCTGGGCTAGCGGAAGGCATCCCTGCCCATGGCAGGGGGCTGGAACTGGGTGATCTTTATGGTCCCTTCCAAACCAAACCATTTTATGAATGGGAAATCGCGACCACCTCCCCCCACTCCAGCCCCGGATGAGCTCCGGGACAGATCCCTGGCCAGGCCTCCGCATCCTCCCGGGATGCTGCGAGGCGGCACGGCCAGCCGGGCACGGAGATCCGCGGCACTCACAGGTCGGCCAGCACGGTGAGCTCGGCGTAGGTGCGGTGCAGGAGGAACTCGATGAGGGTGCTGAGGCGGTAGCCGGGGCTGGCGGCGGCTGTCACGGCGCCGGGGGCCGGCGGGGCCGGGGCTGACGCGGGGCCGGCCGGCACCAGCTGGGCGCTCTCCAGCTGCACCGGCGCCATGGCGGCGGCGGCGCCTCGGCCCCGGGCAGGAGACGCGCGGCAGCATGGATGATGGATGGATGGATGGATGGATGATGGAGGGGTGGATGGATGGACACAGGGTTGGATAGATGATGGATGGATGATGGATGTGTGTGAGGACAGACAGACAGACAGACAGCCAGCCGCTCCCCGTCCCCCGCAGGTGCTGGAGGCGGCGCGCGAGGCCGAGGGCCTGGCCGGCCGTTACGAGGCGCAGGCGGCCGAGCTGCTGGGCTGGATCCAGCGCTCGCTGCTGCTCCTCACCGACCGGCGCCTGCCCCGCGGCATCCCCGGCCTGCAGGGGCAGCTCCAGGCCTTCAGCGCCTACCGCACCACCGAGAAACCCCCCCGGTGAGACCCCCACCGGGCCGGGCTCTGGGGGCTCCCCAATGGGGTCTGGGGGCTGCCCAAAGGGGTTAGGGAGGGGGATATGGGGGTTGTAGGGTGGCAGTTTTGGGGTGGGAGTCTGTGGGGTCATGAGGCAGGGGCAGGGGTTACGGGGTGCTGTGGGTCAGTGGTCAGTGGTTATGGGTCAGTGTGTCAGTGGTCAGTGGTTAGGGGTCAGTGTCTCAATGGTCAGTGGTCAGTGGTTATGGGTCAGTGGCTGTGTCTCAGTGGTCAGTGGTTAGGGGTCAGTGTCTCAGTGGTCAGTGGTCAGTGGTTATGGGGTGCTGTGAGTCAGTGGTCAGTGGTTATGGGTCAGTGGTCACTGGCTATGGGGTGCTGTGGGTCAGTGTCTCAGTGGTCAGTGGTCAGCTGTCCGGTCGCCCCCAGGCCGGAGCTGCTGGACGTGGGGTCCCTGCGCGGAGCCAACGCCCTCCACAACCTGCAGAGCGCCTTCGCCGTGGCCGAGCGCGAGCTGGGGGTCACTCGGCTGCTGGACCCCGAGGGTGAGGGGCTGGGGGCGAGCTGGGGGTCCCAGGGGGGATTTGGGAGGGATGTGGGGGTGGATTTGGGGGTCTCACCCCCCATGCCCCCCAGATGTGGCCGTGGAGCAGCCGGACGAGCGGTCAGTGCTGGGGGGCTGTGATGGGTCAGGGGGGTTTGGGGCTCCTGGGGAGGATTTGGGGTGGATTTGGGGGTCCCTGGGGAAATTGGGGGTCCCTGAGGAGGATTTGGGGGGTCTGACCCCCCATGCCCCCCAGATGTGGCCGTGGAGCAGCCGGACGAGCGGTCAGTGCTGGGGGGCTCTGAGGGGTCAGGGGTGTTTGGGGCTCCTGGGGGGGATTTGGGTCTCCTGGGGTGGGATTTGAGGGTGGATTTGGGGGTCCCTGGGGGATTTGGGGATGGTTTTGGGGGTCTGACCCCCCGTGCCCCCCAGATGTGGCCGTGGAGGAGCCGGACGAGCGGGCAGTGCTGACCTACGTGGCCGCGCTCTACCATCACTTCTCCAGGATGAAGGCGCTGGCCGTGGAGGGAAAACGCGTTGGGAAGGTCCGGGGTGGACACGGGGTGGACAGATGGACACGGGGTGGACAGACGATGGATGGATGATGGATGGATGGATGGATGGATGATGGATGGGTGGATGGATGGACACAGGGTTGGATAGATGATGGATGGATGTGTGTGAGGACAGACAGACAGACAGACAGCCAGCCGCTCCCCGTCCCCCGCAGGTGCTGGAGGCGGCGCGCGAGGCCGAGGGCCTGGCCGGCCGTTACGAGGCGCAGGCGGCCGAGCTGCTGGGCTGGATCCAGCGCTCGCTGCTGCTCCTCACCGACCGGCGCCTGCCCCGCGGCATCCCCGGCCTGCAGGGGCAGCTCCAGGCCTTCAGCGCCTACCGCACCACCGAGAAACCCCCCCGGTGAGACCCCCACCGGGCCGGGCTCTGGGGGCTCCCCAATGGGGTCTGGGGGCTGCCCAAAGGGGTTGGGGGGTTGCCCAGAGGGGTTTGGGGCCTCCCTGCTGGGGTCTGGGGGCTGCCCAGAGGGGTCTGGAGTCTGCCCAAAAGGGTCTGGGGGCTACCCAGAGGTGTTTGGGCACCCCAAAGGGGATTTGGGATCTCCCTAGTGGGGGTTGGGGTCTCCAAAAGGGGCTTTGGGGTCTCCAAGAGGGGGATTGGGGTCTCCAACAGGTGGTTTGGGATCTCCCTACTGGGGTCTGGGGCTGCCCAGAGGGGTCTGGGGCTGCCCAAAGGGGTTTGCGGGCTGCCCAGAGGGGTCTGGGGGCTGCCCAGGGGAGTCTGACAGCTGCCCACAGGGGTTTTGGGGGCTGCCCAGAGGGGTTTAGGGGCTTCCCAGAGGGGTCTGGGGGCTGCCCAGTGGGGTTTGGGGTCTCCAAGAGGGGGTTTGGGATCTCCCTAGTGGGGTTTGGGGTGGATCCAGCGCTCGCTGCTGCTCCTCACCGACCGGCGCCTGCCCCGCGGCATCCCCGGCCTGCAGGGGCAGCTCCAGGCCTTCAGCGCCTACCGCACCACCGAGAAACCCCCCCGGTGAGACCCCCACCGGGCCGGGCTCTGGGGGCTCCCCAATGGGGTCTGGGGGCTGCCCAAAGGGGTTTGGGGGTTGCCCAGTGAGGTTTGGGGACTGCCCAGTGGGGTTTGGGGGCTACCCAGAGGGGTCTGGGGGCTGCCCAGGGGAGTCTGACAGCTGCCCACAGGGGTTTTGGGGGCTGCCCAGAGGGGTTTAGGGGCTTCCCAGAGGGGTCTGGGGGCTGCCCAGTGGGGTTTGGGGTCTCCAAGAGGGGGTTTGGGATCTCCCTAGTGGGGTTTGGGGTCCCCCCAGTGGGTTTCAGGTTCTCTCTGAGAGGTTTTGGGGCATCCCTGGGGCTCAGGGTGGGTTTTAGGGTCCCCCCCGGTGTATTTTGGGGTCCCTCCCATGTATTTTGGGGTCTCCCTGGTGTATTTTGGGGTCCCTCCGGTGCATTTTGGGGTTCTCTCAGTGCATTTGGGTTTCCCTGGTGCATTTTGGGTCCCCCCAGGTTCGAGGACAAGGGCTCCCTGGAGGTGCTGCTGTTCTCGCTCCGGAGCCGCCTCCGCGCCAACAACCAGCGGCAGTTCGTGCCCAGGGAGGGGACACACAGCGCTGACATCAACAGGGTGACAGCCACGGGGACACGGGGACATCAACAGGGTGACAGCCACGGGGACACGGGGACATCAACAGGGTGACAGCCACGGGGACACGGGGACATCAACAGGGTGACAGCCACGGGGACACGGGGACATCAACAGGGTGACAGCCACGGGGACACGGGGACATCAACAGGGTGACAGCCACGGGGACACGGGGACACTGGGGACATTGGGGGTGACAGGGCCATTGGGGGCACGAGGGGTCCCACAGCACCGACACCAACAGGGTGACGGCGACAGGGGACAAGGGGGACATGGGACATGGGGGGGACACAGTAACACGAGTGCCAAGTGTGCCAGCTGTGCAGGTACCCCAGGTGTGAAGGTGTCCTGGTGACACAGTTGAGATGTGCCCCAGGTGACACAGATGACAAAGGTGCCAGGTGCCAGCTGTGCAGGTGCCCAGGTGACACAAATGACACAGATGGCAGGTGCCCCAGGTGCTCAGGTGACACAGATGGCAGGTGCCCCGGCTGCCAGGTGCCCAGGTGACACAAATGACACAGATGACACAGATGACAGGTGCCCCGGGTGCCGGGTGCCCAGGTGACAGAGATGGCAGGTGCCCCGGCTGCCAGGTGCCCAGGTGACACAGGTGCCACGTGCCCCAGGTGCCCAGGTGACCGCGCTGTCCCCGCAGGCGTGGGAGCGGCTGGAGAAGGCGGAGCACGGCCGGGAGCTGGCGCTGCGCTCGGAGCTGCTCCGGCAGCAGCATCTGGAGCAGCTGGCAGCGAGGTTCCACCGCAAGGCCGCCCTCAGGGAGACCTGGCTGGGGGACAACCAGCGCCTGGTGGCACAGGTGACACGGGGACTCCCACCCAGGGACCCCTGAGACCCCCCCCAAACAACCCTCAGTCAGGGACAATGAACACCTGGTGGCACAGGTGACACTGGGACCCTCAGCCCACCCCCAGTCAGGGACAACCTGGTGGCTCAGGTGACCCTGAAACCGCCCCCACCCCAGGGGACTTCCCCTTGTCCCCACCAGGACAATTTCAGGATGTGTCATCCCCCCCGCCTTTGTCACCTCTCAGCTCCTTTTTTTCTCCTCCAGGACAATTCTTGGGATGTCCCCACAGTGTCCTCCCCACCTTTTACCATTTCTGCCCCCTCTCCCACCCCAGAACAATTCCAGGGGGGGTCCCGGGAGTGTCCCCTCCCTTACCCCCCTTTCCCCCCTCCCAGGACAATTTCGGGGGGTCCCTGGGGGGGGTCGAGGCCGCGCTGCGCAAGCACGAGGCCATCGAGAGCGACATCGCCGCCTACGGCAGCCGCGTGCGCGCCGTCACCGCCGTGGCCGCCGAGCTGGAGGCCGAGCGCTATCACGACATGGGCGGCATCGCGACACGGCGCGACCACGTGGTGTCGCTTTGGGAGGCGCTGCGGGCGCAGGTGGCAGCGCGGCGAGAGCGGCTCCGGGCGCACCTGGAGCTGCAGCGGCTCCTGCGCGACCTGGAGCACCTGATGGGCTGGATGGAGGAGATGGAGGTGGGGAGGGGGCTGGACTGGGGGGGTGGGATTCCCTCGTGGGACCCCCCCCCCCGTGACCCTCCCGGTGTCCCCAGGTGCGGCTGCAGTCGCGGGATTTCGGGCAGCACCTGAGCCAGGTGGACGACCTGCTGCAGATCCACGCCCTGGTCGAGGGGGACGTGGCGGCCCAGGCCGAGAGGGTCCGGAGTGTGGGGGCGGCGGCCGAGCGCTTCCTCGGGGAGGGGGACGGTGAGTGACCCCCCAAAACTGAGAACCCCAAAGTTGGGATCCCCTGGGATGCCCCAGAACCCCCAAACCCAGCGACACCTGAATCCCAGGACCCCCAGGCACCTGAGACCCCCAAAAGCAAGACCTAGCAGAACCCCAAAATGAACCCCCAAAAACTGTGAGCCCCAAAAACCGAGGCCCCAAAACACCGAATCCCTGAACCCCGGGACCTCCAAATCCCAGACCCCCAGCACCCTCAAACTCTGGGTCTCCCAAATCCTCATCATCTCTGAATCCCAAACCCTGGGACCCCCCAAAATCGGCATCCCTAAACACCGTATCCCTGAACCCTGGGGGATTCCAGACCCCAGGACCCCCAAACCCTGCGACCCCCGGACCCCCCAAGCGCCGCTGACCCCCTCCCGTGCCCCCCAGGGTACCGCCCGTGCCCCCCGGAGCAGCTGCGGTCCCGCGTGGCGGCTCTGGAGCTGCGCTACCGGGGGCTCTCGGCGCTGTCGGCGCAGCGGCGGCTGCGGCTGGAGCGCTCCCGGCGCCTCTGGAAGTTCCTGTGGGACGCGGGCGAGGAGGAAGCCTGGATGCGGGAGCAGGAGCGGCTCCTGCGCTGCCCGGAGCTGGGCCGGGATCTGCCGGGAGCCCTGCGGATGCTGAGCCAGCTCGAGGCCATCCGAGGGGCGCTGGGGGGACGAGCGGGGCCGCTGCAGCAGCTGCTGGAGCGGGGCCGGGAGCTGCTGGCGCAGGGAGCCCCCGACGGAGCCGCGGGATCCGTGGAAGCCACCCCTGGATCGGTGGAAGCCGCCCCTGGGTCAGCGGGATCCGCTGCCGGATCAACGGGAGGCGCAAAACCCGCGGAATCCGCTGCCGGATCCGCCGCCAGATCCACGGGACCCCCGGAATCCAAGAACGCGTCCCCGGGACGCGCTGCTGGACCCCTGCAATCCCCCCCTGCATCCACGGAGGGACTCTCGGCATCCTCCACCAGACCCTCGGAACGCCCCGACGGCTCCACGGAACCCACTGGGAGACCCACAGACCGCTCCGAGGGACCCCCGGGCCCTGCTCCCGGCTCCCCGGACCCCGCGGCCGCCGTGTCCCGCCGGATCCGGGAGCTGGAGTCGCTCTGGGCGGCGCTGCCGGCGCTGGCCGGGGCCCGGGAGCGGCGGCTCCGCGCGGCCGCGGGGCGATTCCAGCTGGACGCGGAGGCGGCCGAGGCCGAGGCGTGGCTGGGGGGCGCCCCCCCGCGCGGGGCGGGGGGGGGGGGCGGGGC